CAGCAGAAAGAAAATAATTTATTTACTTGATTATTATTCAAAATTATCACCCACCCACTTTTCCCCTTTTTTACAGTGTTCCCAGTGAGATCATGAAATTTCATTTATTGCCGTCAGAAGAGCAACCAAGCTCCTCCCTCCATCCCTCCCCCAGGCATCCCAATACAAAAGAAAACTTTCTGCATGGGAGCTAGCTAGGTAGATAGGATATTCTTTTGAACAGCATGGTGAAGATGAGAAAATTAAGAGTTTCTGTCTCTTTGAAGATACAAGCTAGCCAAAATTAGCTTCAAAATCAGTGTGAAGGTTTTTTGTTTTGAAGGGTTTATTGTAAGTATTTTGTTTTTGCTAATTATTTGTATACTATGAAAAAATCTCAATTGCTAATTTTCTTAATTTAAATCTATGTATGTTTGATCAAAATATTCAGGGATGTATGTTTACAAGTGTGTATATATAAAAAAATGTATATGCACACATGTTTTTAAGTCTTAGATGTGGTTTTATTTTAGGTACAGGTAGCGCAAACAGAAGAAAATGTGCCATTAATGTAGAACTATTATATTCCTGTAAACATGTAGCTCTTCCTATAGGTTACATGTGGCAGTATAACATTTTACTAAACATCAATGTATTTCTTGTATTAATTGTTGACTACTTTTTGTCTTGTTGTTTTGTCATATCAGCTTATGCATGGTAGTCCTCAAATTGGCTTTAGTACTATCTAATCTGAGTTATACTTATCTTGACATAGTGGAATTTCTTTACCTGCACAAATCTGGAATGGTTTTCTCACAAAAATGCTGGTGAGTGATTTTTTTCAGGATGTTTTAGCAAGGCACAGTCTAGCATGTTTTATACATTTCTGATTTTGGAGGTAATGAGCGAATAGATTTTATTGTATTATATTTATATTGTAAATAACTTTTTACATTACATTTTTTTTTTTTAAAAAAAACACATCCAAAAAACTCCACTGGTAGATATTTATCCAAACACAAAGTTTTTCTTGGGGTGGGGGGAACCAAGTGGGAAGTGGAGAGTGGGGGAGAAAGTACTAGGTGGAAGAAATGGCCATGTATTTTAGAAACAGCGGTAGTCCAATAAAATGTCCAAAATTGATTTTACAAAGGACTAAAATCTGTTAAATCTGTTGATAATTATTGGTAGTTAAATAGAAAAAAATGGTGATCAGAGAGCAGAAGTGTTTTCTCTTTAATGAAACTGCGTAGGTGATAGCAGTAGCTTTTTGCAAGGTATTGTACAACACAGAAAAGACAGAATTCCTAGCCTGTTTCATGAGGTGTTGCTGTGAGCTCTTTTCTCATTTTTTCTTGTTCCAGAAGAAGAGATGAACAGTGGTTCATCTGATAGAAATACATTTGAGCTACATATAAAATAGTGTTTTGATTCCTTTTTTAATCACCTTTTTTGTGGAATATGAGTTATTATTTTTCATAATGGGCATTCATTACAAAAACTCTGTATTGCAAGGATTTTGTCAGTCACATCTTAGCTTCCTTTTTCCTAACCTAAGTCACAATCTATAAATACTTGGCAGTTGATGAAAGGCTAGAAAGTCTGTTCTTCCATGTGAGCACAAGTACATTGCTGGTACAGGATTTCTGAAGAAATCCTCTCATGCTGTTTGTGAATGTTTGTCCAATTATGACTTCTAGTCACTGCTGCTGAAGGGGATGTGTAGGGATTTTTTGCTTTTGATCACTGCTTTTGACAGATTCAGCCTTCATTTTTTTGAAAATTTAGCTTCCAGATGCTTAATACTAAAACAGTGTTTGCATTTACTAAAACAGTTTTCTTTGCTTCATTTATTACAGTCAATGTAGTTACCTAAAAGCTCAGTCTCTCTGTTGTCCTTAAAATTACTTTGAAGATAAAATGAATCTTCTTAGAATTATTGAAAATTGAAAAAAAAAAAAGAGCATGTTGATTTTCACTTTAGCTTTTGGGCTTTTGACTGGAAATGGGTCTGTGTGGTTTTGCAAAGTAACAGTTCTTTCATTATATGTTTCCAGTTTGTTACCATAGTAAATCTTGATCTCTGAGTTGTGGTCCCTAATCAGATCTGAACTTGCTTGTAAAGTCCCAGAGGAGTTAAAAAAAAAATAAATAATCAAACAAATCCCCTAAACCAAACCAAAATCATTGCACAATCATTCTGGTTCCAGGCAGTTGCATATTCTTTTTAAAGAAATATATCTGTGCATTTAAAAAAGAGTGCTGTAATTACAAGAGAGTATTGATTCTCTAACATGGTCCACATGTGAGCTCACAAAACTGAAGCAGCAGAACTGGACTTTGGGCAATCAAAAATGCAGAGGATTTTAAAGACTTATTTGTGACCAAAAGTGTTATTAGATAGGAGCAATTGGTTTTGACATGAATCACAAAGGACAAGTCATCCTGTAATGGGTCAAAATTTTCTTCGTCTTTTGTGGATGAGAATTGCAGTCAAGAAAATTGCTGTCTTCTACAAGTAATATGGTACATTTGGGCTGGAAGTCATTAGTAACTGAATAGTTACAGTGATTTCCCTTAAGTCACTTCAGTGCTTCTCATTACCTTGCCACCCTTCCCCTTTGTCAGTAATTTAAACTCAGGCAGAATAATTGAAAGTAAGTTCTTGAAGGTACTCTGCTAATCCCCAGAAGAATTGCTGTATTTCTGAATATGTGAGAAGGTGAATTTGCTTCATCATATTTACCTTTTCCCAGGCTGGTATGGGAGGCAGAACTGACCCATACCTGTCAGCATGGATAAACAAGTATATAACTTGGATAAAAATCCAAGTAGTTAAGAGTAATTAAATTTGTTTCTTCTGATGTGTGAAAAAGAGTAGTTGTTAAACAAATAGACATAACCAAGACCTCCAGAAACAGCAGACGGTCTGGTGCAGAGCTCTAAAGCATTCAGGCACCTGCAAAATTCTAGGAGAGACTAATCTTCCTATTGATATGCAGTTATGAGGAGGGCAATACCAGATTTACTTGATTATTTGGTTTGTAGTAGTCTGTTATGGTGTCTTTAGATTGTTTAAATTCTGCATAAAACTCAATGCGTATGGAGCTTCATGAGAGTCGATCAGTGGTTAAATCACCTCCTAGTAAATTTTCTTTTGAGAAAGTGCAGGTCCCTGGCTTTTCTAAGCATGCGGAACAAGGGTGGTCACAAGCAGAATTAAACATAGCAGCTATCCCTGGTGATAACTGATGGTAACACCAGTTCTATCACTGATGTTACTTTAATTTTTTGAGAACTGTGTAGTAAATGATTCTTAATTACCAAGCGATGGTGTGATAGTATGCAGGACTCATTGTCAGCAAAGTTAGTGAAATATTATCAAGCAGCATGCTATGCTTTATAGTGTGATGCATCATACATATGTATGCTTGTGATAAGTCATGTCAAGGTAAATTAATTTCAATAGATGTCTTATAAAAACTTCAGGAAATCTGGAGGTATATTTGATACTCAGATGTTTCCCAGACACTACATCTTGGTTTTGGCCTAGGTTTGTAGATGTTTGTAATACAGTTTGTTGTTTAATGTCAATGCAAATATTCTTTAATCAAACCACATATGTTGAAGCCTTAGTTGTGGCCACATTCTCAGTTTGCTACTCAACAAAATTAGAAAAAAGCCTCATAAAATCAGAGAATCATAGAATGAGCAGAGCTTT